GAGCTGAAACGGAGCTCACTGGACTTTATGCTCGCTGGTGTCTCCTGAGTCAGAGAGGTGTCAAACAAACCGACCTAATACTGATTATTAGTGAGGATCATTTCATCAAAGATCATTTAAAATGCTCTACTTTGAATAATAGTTTGTGTCTGACATGTTTTTAACTGAAACAAAGATAAGAAACTGAGTTAAATGATTATAATGACTCTCCTTACACCTCATGTAAAAACCCAGAACCTCTTCATATGGAAACTCAATATTTCAATATGTTTCATTTGTAAAGTTGAACTGTTGGACACAACACGTCTCCTACTTCACTGTAAAGTCTCAGTGTTTGTGTGTTTGTTGCTTTATCACACTGTAAGTTTCATACTGCACCCTGATTGGCTCCTAACTAGTGATGACGTCATGAATCCTGCAGGTACATCCAGGTGTTAAACTGCTGCTCTTTGTGAAATCTCTCAGTTTATCACTCATTCTCTTCTATATAACTGAGTCTCAGTAGTTGACTATAACAGAGGCTGTCACACTGTGAGGAGAGCTGGCAGCAGAGACGTGAGGGCTGAAAGGGACAGGTGTGTGCAGGTGTTGGAAGCAGGAAGTTAGTTAGTTATTCTAGTTTGTCAGCAGTGACACTCAGGTACTGTAAATCACCTGTAGTAGTCCCTTTGTTAGTCCAGTCATACCTGCGTCAGGTTTGAACACAGACAGATTTGGATTGGCTGTGACTGACACTTGAACTCTGCTTTGATAATAAGTGCAGAAGCTGCCTGAGAATCCTCATGTTTGGACGTTTTCTTCAGGATCAAAGTAATCCAGTGATATTTGTGTGAACAACATGAGAACAGGAGCTGCTAACAGCTCATTCAGCTCACTGTTCATGGACACTATTGGACTGAATGTTAACCAATATAACAAACAGAGCTTCACGTGTCGCCCACGGCTAACTCACCGACTTCATGGAGACTTTTCACTTCATGTTTACGTCCACAAAACCCTAAGAATCATGGGAAGTGTAGTCCAGAGCAAGTTTACTCTTCAAACTGAGGTTAAGAAAAGAATATTGATTAAAAACTGTAAACTGAAGGGATGAACAGTAGTGAGTTTATAAATGATATACAGTATCAAAATATAAATATATTGACTGGATTCATGTAATGTTCACTTTTTATGTTCTCATGTTTTTATGAAGGAACCAGATATTTTCTAACAGTTGTTTCTGTTTTTTACAGACGATCCATGCAGGCCTTGAACTCAGCACAGGTAAGAGTGTTAGATGTGACTCACAGTGAACAGGAAGCTGATATCACCTCCAGCACACTCCACTGATGTATTGTGTTCACTTCATGATGAACTGGAGTTATTTCACATTGTGTCACCACAGAAGAAGAAGAAGTCTAAATTCACAGCAGTTCATACACACATATGAAGATTCACTTGTTTCTCATTGGTCAGTTCTTTGTGACTCGGCCTGTCTGAGACTTTTATGAGCTGAGCCAAGAGTCTGTCTCCTCACTACACTCAGGTTTGTTTGGAGGTGTACAGAGCTATACTGCCCTCTAGAGGCAGAGAGCAGTAACTACAGTCACAGCACAGGAAAAAGCATTTTAAGTTTCCATGGAGACAAACAGGTAGAGAGGCTGTAATAGGTCCATTTACTGTGTGAACATCAGTGATATAGAAGCTGCTACAACCACAAACTGTTGATCTACAGTCTGAATGTATCTCTGAGTCATATTTCTATGGAATAAATCAACACATCATTATATTTAAATCTATGATTTAGAGGTAGTTTAAGCACCAAATCACATGAATTCCCCTCCAGTCAAAGGTCACTGAGATCTATGCTAAGCTAGTTATCTTTAACAGCAGTTGAACTGTTCTCATCATGATCACATTTAGCTGCTGCTTCATTTAGTCGTGTAGAAAAACAGACTGAACACACAAGATGTGAGTTTATCAAGAATATAGTTTCTATTTCCAGATAACAGCCAGGGGGAGATCAGTTAGCAGCTAAGCTAGCAGCTTTAGTAGCAGCTGTAGCTAAGGCTAACTGTGCTATGAGAGCAGCTAGCTTAGCCTTGATGAAAGTTGAGGTGTGTAGCTTCAGATGTGTATTTAGCTGAATGAATGTGAAGCTGGCAGGTAGATGACAGATGACACAGTCAGAGTGCAGTCACTGCAGTTTGAGTCACAACACATTTAAAAAACACTTTTCACAGAAATGAAACTCTTCTCTGCTCTGATCTGTTTTTAAAGTAAAGCAAACGTGAACTCAGTTTGGACCAAATATGGAGTCACTGCGTTTAGTCTCTGTTGGCTCGTATGACCATAAAAACATGGAGAGACAGTAACCATCTGCTCCCTGCTCTACAGATGTGCATTAATAATGTGTGTTTATAGAGATTATTTGTGGGATAAGTTGAAGGAGGTAAACATGGAGGTGTGTGTGTGTGTGTGTGTGTGTGTGTGTGTGTGTGTGTGTGAAGAAGTTTTAACTGTGTAGCTGTAGTTAGCTACTGAAGCCAGCTAGTTCATGGTGCTGCTAATGTTAGCTTCATAATGTGCTCATACAGTGTTCAGGCCCTCATTATTCATACCTGATGCTTTAGTCACCTTCTGTTCCTCACAGTAACAACAGGTGTTGAAGCTAATGCTAAGGCCTGCTATATCTCTACAGCTATATTTACAGTGAGTGTGTCTTCCTGCTGCTCTGCATGTTTTATACGGTATCTTTGTACGTACCACGTCGTCTCTACTCCATCTGAAATCAGTCCAATCAGCAGCAGTGCTGTGTGGACGCTCTTTGTGACCGTCTCAGTGTGCTCTCACTTAGAACACAGGTAGGACTTATTTCTGTCTCATAGCTCATACTTTCAGATCACAGCACAGGAAGTGATGTCATCAGGAGGCATGGTCTAGAAGAAGCAGCTTCCTGTCTTACATCAGGATAAATATCATGGTTATAGTGCCCTGTAGTGGTAGCACACAGAATATATTCATATTGAAACTATGTGAATCAAAGGAACGAGTCAAACGATGAGCAGCAGAGGAGAAAGAGAATCTTCACAGAGAAATCACTGATGAGCTATGGAGGTGTACACAGCGCCACCACATGCACGCATGCTGCAGCAATTCATCCTGATAGAGAGGCTGAAAGCTGCAGCCTGAACACTCTTTGGTACGCTGTTCTCTTTCAGCACCATGTCTTCATCATCATCATCATCATCATCGTCCTCGCTCTTCTCTCTGCCTCAGCCATCGTGTTAGCTAACCTCGCTCTCAGCACTAAATGTACAACAAGCTGAGGCTTCATCTGATTGGTCAAATGTTCACCTGCAGAGTGTGAAGGAACGTCACGTCCACATTGAATGATTCGTTTTCCAGGAAGTCGTTTCCGATGCGTTTATTACGTGTGTTCAGTTTCCGATGACGATGGAAGATTTATTTTGCCGCCATGCTGACTGATCACATGATTACAGAACCACTTCAAACCAGGTACGAGGTCGACTTCATTCTCATTGTCTCGTATCAAATACTCAGTTTACAGGGAACAAAGGTGTTTTTATCAGAGCTAAAGTTAAACAGACATTTCAAAAGAAAAGACATCCAACAAGTTCAGACAGGAAAGAGAAGTAGTATGAAGTGAAATAAAGATGCTTCATTAATGTCAGTAAGATGATGATAATATTACACAGAGTACAGTCTACACCTCTTCTTTATGGAAGGAGTCATGAGCTAACACTTTTTTAATCTGGAGCTTTATGAATATATTATTATTCAATGATAAACAACAGCTAATGATACTTCATCATCATCATCCTTTGAATCAGGTCACCAGTTTTTAGTAACTTGGAGTTCATGAATCTGAGGACCTGACCACCTGGATCCTGAACACCTGGATCCTGAACACCTGGATCCTGAACACCTGGATCCTGAACACCTGGATCCTGAACACCTGGATCCTGAACACCTGGATCCTGAACACCTGGATCCTGACACCTGGATCCTGAACACCTGGATCCTGAACACCTGGATCCTGAACACCTGGTCCTGAACACCTGGATCCTGAACACCTGGTTCTGAACACCTGGATCCTGAACACCTGGATCCTGAACACCTGGATCCTGAACACCTGGTTCCTGAACACCTGGATCCTGAACACCTGGATCCTGAACACCTGGATCCTGAACACCTGGTTCCTGAACACCTGGATCCTGAACACCTGGATCCTGAACACCTGGTTCCTGAACACCTGGATCCTGAACACCTGGTTCCTGAACACCTGGATCCTGAACACCTGGATCCTGAACACCTGGATCCTGACACCTGGATCCTGAACACCTGGATCCTGAACACCTGGATCCTGAACACCTGGATCCTGAACACCTGGATCCTGAACACCTGGATCCTGAACACCTGGATCCTGAACACCTGGTTCCTGAACACCTGGATCCTGAACACCTGGATCCTGAACACCTGGATCCTGAACACCTGGATCCTGAACACCTGGATCCTGAACACCTGGATCCTGGACACCTTGATCCTGAACACCTGGTTCCTTTACACCTGGTTCCTGAACACCTTGATTCTGAACACCTGGTTCCTGAAAACCTGAACACCTGAACACCTGGATCCTGAACACCTGGTTCCTGAACACCTGGTTCCTGAACACCTGGATCCTGAACACCTGGATCCTGAACACTTGGTTCCTGAACACCTGGTTCCTGAAAACCTGAACACCTGAACACCTGAACACCTGAACACCTGGATCCTGAACACCTGGATCCTGAACACCTGGATCCTGAACACCTGGTTCCTGAACACCTGGTTCCTGAACACCTGGATCCTGTACACCTGGATCCTGAACACCTGGATCCTGACACCTGGATCCTGAACACCTGGTTCCTGAACACCTGGATCCTGAACACCTGGATCCTGAACACCTGGATCCTGACCACCTGGATCCTGAACACCTGGATCCTGAACACCTGGATCCTGAACACCTGGTTCCTGAACACCTGGATCCTGAACACCTGGATCCTGAACACCTGGGCTGTGTCTGAAATCACTCCCTATCCACTATGTAGTGGACACGCCATTTTGTAGTGCTGTCCGAATTCTGAGTGAGCATGGTCATACCCTATATAGTCCACTCAATGTATCCCACAATGCATTTTGAAAAGTAGTGTATGAGCGATGGTCACTATGCGAGCAATATATACCATCATGCATTGCGGTTCAAACAGAAGAAATGGCCGACAGACAGGACCACGAAAGCGTGCAGCGGGAGCTGACTTTTAAAATGTTCAACGATTGTTTCACTTTGGATTTCCGCTTTTCAGGATTATGAGACACGTTATAACTTGTATATCACAGGTACTATAATTACGCCTCTACGGTAAAAAACCCAGCTAGCTAGCATTAGCCTTTAGCTATCTTTAGCCACCATTAGTAGCATGTTAGCATTGCTAACTAGCATCAGCGGTAAATTGCATTGGCATTTCACTAAAGTACCGGAGCAAAATTGATCTTATTCTGTTCAGGGACTGATGACGATGTAGCCCAGCTGATCCGGCTGAGGAGGGAGAAGGACCACCCCTTCAGCGGGAGGCGGTTTGCTGCTGCTGCAGGATGGGAGTGAGACATTTCATTATTATTAATAGCTTTCTTATTGTGATGTGTCATTATATTGGAGGTAAAATGTTCTTGACTTATAGCTTTCTAGTAGGCTATAGTTATTCATGATTTTGAGACACTTTGTAGGCTATTGTGTAATATTTGTATGTTTTTTTTAACATTTTGAAGAACTTTGCTGAAAGACATGCTGCTGTCTGATCGAGTCAGTCCTGCTCGGGCGGATAAAAAGTGGGAGAACTTGAAGAAAACGTACAAGGTTTGTATTTGTTGTATTTAACTGTAGCCCTGGATAATTAAAGTTTAGATTAAAAATGGCACTTCATGTTCTCCTTTAGTATCTTCCTATGTTGTATTCGGAATCTGAAATTGACTTTAACATGTATAATTGTGCATAGCTAATAGTTTGATATGTATGTGATTGTGTGCAGGAGCTCACAGGGAGTGGCACTGAATCAGGGGAGGCCACTGCTGGGACATGGAAGTGGTTCTCCCTCATGGATGAGGCAATAGGTGGGAGGCCATCCATAAGGCCTCCATGCCTCATTGCCTCAGCATGGGGAGAGAACTCTTCCATGTCCCAGCCAGAATCCCCTGATTCAGTGCCATCTGACACTGAGAGAGAGCCAGGGAGAGGGTCAGAGGAGGCAGAGATGTGGTGGTGGTGACAACATCCTTAACTTTTTGGATAGGGCAGAAGAAAGGGCGGAAGAGAGAGTTAGGAGAGATGAGGCCAGGGAGGAAAGGTTGTTGAGTTTGATGGAAAAGATTATAGAAAAAATGTGATACAATTAAAATCTGCACATTAAAATAAATGTTTTATGAATCAGTTTTTACCATCAACATCATAACATTGAAACTTGAAAGAACTGATTTTAAAGTAACTGATACAACATCTCGACTAATTTTTAAGAAAGAAGGAAGAAGATTTATAAATAACTGATAACTACTAATAACTACATATTTAC